GGCCGCCTCGGGCCAAGGAGGCCGAGCCACCGCGGGCTCTGCGAGCCCACCCAGCCCGAGGCTCCAAAGTGCATATTGCTGCCTCCTTCCCCTGATATTAATCTCTCAGCTAGCTAAATTAAAGCAAGCAGGGTTTCACCCCAGCATGTTGTGATCACACCTCCAACTTGCAATATAGACTTACCATGTAAACTGCTAAGCAAGGTACAGTGCTCTCGCAGCAGGAGAGGACAATGTCTGGCTGCAGGGAGGAGGCAAGCAGTGGCTTGGGGAAGGTCCACGGGCACACACCTCCCTTCTCGCAGGGGATCCCAGATACTGCTCTGCATCGGCACAGGAGACCCAACACATGGAGTGAGGGCTGCGTGGCTGTTGTCGCATCAAGAAAAATATTGCTCACCCGAAGAGCTTTTGGTCAGAGGCACTGAGGTCGTTTTACAAGGAGGCAGAAACCGTGCTGCCTTACAGGCGGGCAAGGTGAGGCGCAGAGATGGAGCTGCAGAGCCGGCCTCCTGCTCTCCAGCTGATTCCCCCTGCTCTCAAGACCCCTGCTGTACGCACGAGACAACCCCAGCATATCTCAGCAAGCTGGCATGTTTTATTCTTTTGCGCATCTGCCCGTAGCTCGGAGTTGCAGGTGAGTCGTTTCTTCTGCACAACAGCTCTCTGCGCCTTGGTGGAGGGCTGTAAGTGCAGTTTCGTTTTCGCCTGACACTCTGGTGAGGCTGTTGGGTTTTTATTCTTTGCTTCTAAATCAGTATACTTGTTACCATTTTTCAAAAGTGTGAATAGCTGCAACAGAAGCCATCAATTAGCACCAGCAAACAGGGCCAAAGTCCTTCCTTCCTCCTCCCCCACAGCATATTGTGAAGAGAGCTGTGCTCTTCTACTTTTGAGGCTGCTGGAGAGACTCTGAAGTTGAGCGGTCCCACTGCCGCCTTTGCATCTGCTGTAGGACGGACAGTACGCTAGTTGCAAGGGAAGCAGGATGGGCTTTCAGCGCTGGCACGGAGACAACGGGAGAGAGACCAGCTCAACAGCAGCAGAAAAGGAACAATTTTTTTCCCTTTCTGTTCCAGAGAGCCTTCCAGGGCTAAGGGAGGTTGCCAGAGGTTGCCTGTTTTTTCAAGCACCATTCCCCCTTCCCAGTGTTAAAGAAGCTGCAGAGGGAAGCCCCTCCAGCAGCTTTGCTTAATTACCGTGATCTGTGGAGAGGCTAGAAAGTCCTCTCTGCTGAATAGTTTGCAAACTGGACCATGCTTGCCAGAAGATTTCTGTTGATTAGATGATGCAGAGTATTAATTAGAATATAGATTATATGCAGGGGCTTTTACCATAAGTTTGCTGCCATTTGGTACAGACATGCCCGTTTCTTGCCACATTGGGTTTTCTCCCAGAAAATCGTTCTCCTGCAGCCCAGTTCCCAACGTGGTTCTCGTACAGCGAGGAAGAGGCCGGATTGTGCTCCCACCTGTAGTAAGTGTGAGCCTAGCTCTCCACCGGGCTTGTGAAGAACGCTAAGAGTTAGAGCAGCATTGATTAAAACCCACAGAAACTTGCAGCTTGTGTACGAGAGCCTCCCTGCTTGCTCAGCGCCTCAGCCGGTGACGCAGCCCCGCAGCTGGACTAATGTCACCAGCCAGACCCGACGCGGGCAGGGCAGGCCAGCTTTGTTCAGTGTGTGCTTGGCACGGTCTCTCTGCAGACCCTTTCATCTCCGTCTGGGATGCAGTTACTACTACAAAAATATAGTAATTCTGTAGGACCACAGGGCAGATCAGTAACCCACCTAACCTGCCGCTCTATCCGTCAGCAACAGATACTGGGCAGCGAGGTACCAGCGCTCTGCATTGGGCCCTGTGGGAAATGCCACCCACAGGGAACATTTCCTCCTGGCCTCCTGCAGTCCTTTGGTTGCCTTGCTTCCTAAAGCATGACTTACAGCTCATTCTCCATACCAATACTTATTTTTTCCTTTCTGCAACCTTTTTATGCTCTTCAAGGGAGTGGTACCTTGTGGCAGAGAGTTCCAGCGGTATGTTACCCAGGCTTGGAGGAAATTTTCTGTCACTGATCATATGTACAAAAATAAAAATTATAGCCTGGTACAGGGTGAACAGGAGTGCTCAACTTATCTCTGCTTGTGCTATTCACCGCCTTATATACCTCTAATGTGCCCCTCTTCCTGATCCTATTTCTAAATTAAACAGTCATCTTGTTTTTCACATCTCTCATTATATAGAGGTCCTTCCATATGTCTAACATTTGCTTGAGTCTCAATATATCAGACCATGTAACATGCTGATTCACAGAAATCTCACGTTCTGTAATGACCCAGCCTTCGAAATCTGCCTGCATTTTTAAAAATCTGGCTCAGATTTTGACTTGTCAAATATCATCTGACCACCTCCCTTAATCAAGGGGGTTGCGAGTAGTGCTTTCCGGTCAGATTTGACCTCAAGCATTCCTGTTTGTTTTTTTAAAACTTAAGTTTTAAGCAACTTCATTCACTCCTCCAATAGGCAGCTAAACACTCCCTTGCCATGTTTGCAACCTGCAACGTCTTGCCGTTACCCGGTATCACAGCTCGCGTGAAGGCAGACAAAGCGGCTGCTGCCCGTTCTGAAATATCACCTTTCTTTCCAAGAGCTGCTATGCTCTGAGATGTTTTTAAAGACCATTTTCGCCCCTCACACGTCACCCCTGTGAAGTGCTAGGCAGTTGTCTCCCGGCGCTCAAAGCACTATGGGCCGTGGCTCTTGCACGACGCCCCTGCCGCTGCTCCGCCTTGAGTCACA